TTGTTTTTAACTTGTGACCTGCCATTATCTTTCTCCCCCCTAACACAGGAGTGGACAAATAATAAGAAAGTCAGCAGCCAACATGATTTTTCCATGAACCAGCTCCGCTGACAACTAGAGAAAACCTCAAAAGCGAGCCGCCGTCTGTAAATTAGGCCTGGTTCACACCTAGGCATTTTAGAGCAGTGGGAAAAGCGCTTTTTCACACCCGAGCAGCAAAATGCCAAACGCAGAAAAAGGTACATGAGCTTCTTTTGGCAGTTTCAAGCTCGTTTTTCCCCAATAGACCTCAATGAAAAAGCCAGAAAACGTGCGGCAGAAGCATGTTGCACATTTTCATGCGCGTTCCTCCATTGACCGCAATGGTTCTTAAACTGCCAGTCAAAACGCACGTCTTCGTGTTTGCAAATTTTTAACGTGCAAAACTCGCAAAAACACATGCAAACAATACTCACGTAGAAATGCGCATGTGCTGGTGACATCTTGTTTCCTACACTCAGCAACACTTGGTCATGACCCACCTACATCCAAAGATTGGCTGCTGTAGTCTGTACAACACTGATGGCCCCAAACTTAGCCCACATACATACAATGCAGAATACCAATGTATAATACAGCGGCACACTGCAGAATACCAGCAGCTATAGAGGAACAACAAATCCCAGCAATAATACATTAAGCAGCCTGTATAATGTCTTATTGCTGGGATTTATTGTTCCTCTATAGCTGGTGTCATTCTCCATTGCGCTGTATAATGTATTATTGCTGGGATTTGTAGTTCCTCTATAACTCGTCAGTGGTATTCTGCATTGCGCTGTATAATCATTATAAGGCGCAATGGAGAATACCACCAGCTATAGAGGAACTACAAATCCCAGCAATAATACATTATACAGCGCAATGGAGAATACCACCAGCTATAGAGGAACTACAAATCCCAGCAATAATACATTATACAGCGCAATGGAGAATACCACCAGCTATAGAGGAACTACAAATCCCAGCAATAATACATTCTATACAGCGCAATGCAGAATACCAGCAGCTACAGAGGACTACAAATCCAAGCAATAGTACATTATGGTATAATGTACTATTGCTGGCATTTGTTGTATACTTATATAGCTGCTGGTATTCTGCATTGCACCGTATAATCATTATACAGCGCACTGCAGAATACCACCAGCTATAGAGGACTACAAATCCCAGCAATAATAAATTATACAGCGCAATGCAGAATAACGCCAGCTACAGAGGACTACAAATCCCAGCAATAGTACAATACAAATTGCTGCGATTTGTTGTATTCCTCTAAAGCTGCTGGTATTATGCATTGCGCCGCTGTATAATGTACTACCGTGTTTCCCCGAAAATAGGACACTGTCTTATATTTTTTTGGGCTCAAAAAAACACACTAGCTCTTATTTTCGGGGTAGGTCTTAAAGTTAACGCAAATCCAAATTAAATAATCCAAAATGGCAAAGTTAAGAATATGGTGATCAGGGCAATCAGGGGTGCCGTACCTTTCCAAGAGCAATTAGGTAACCAATTGCTGGCCAGAATGAGCGAAGTGCGCTTTCACTATCCATTCCTCACAGGCGGAGTGCATTTGGTATCACCCCGCCTGTGACAGGAGCCGGCGCTATAGAAGAAGCATCGCCTTATGCGGCTCTGCTCCCTCCGCTGCCGCCTCACTTCCTCTAGCGCTGGCTTCATTGGCACCGCTGATTTTCTCCCGCGGCTCTTCAAGTTCCCCCTTATGCAACCACCGGCCCTGGGAATGGTCACAACTAGGTCTTATATTTTAGCAATTCCCCAAAATAGTACTAGGTCTTATTTTCGGGGTAGGTCTTATTTTAGGGGAAACAGGGTATATTGCACACCACACTTTTTTTTACTTCCACCGCTCCAAGCTTGCTCCTGTGATGGACTACAATCTCAATACAAAACTAGTAATCCATCACTGGAGCCTTTTTTTTTTATCCGAGTAATAATATTGAATAAAATAATCAAAAGCAAATTAAGCCAAATGGCACACAATCGTTTCCCGGATAGTACATGCAGCAGATCAGCGGAACAGTAAGTACACAGGGGAATTGTTTCCCTCTGGTTAGATGAGAGTGCTGGTTAGTTGAATGCCAGATGTTTGCTGTACCTACATCAACCATCCAAAACAGACAGCTCTCCAATTGCTTAGTAACAATTAAACCCAATGTATACTGCTAGGGCTCAAAACTGAAAATGTTCTTAAAGTAGACAAAGCACATATTTTGAAGACTGGGGTTTTAAATGGGTTGTGTAAATACTACTCCTCTGAGTGGTCCAAATCCTCTAGCTCAGGAGTAGCCAAACTCTGGCCCTCCAGCTGAGGTGGAACTATGAGGCATTGCAAGATTCTCACAGCCACAGACATGACTCCCGGAGAGAGATGCATCATGGGATTTGTAGTTTCACCACAGCTGGAGGGCCGGAGTTTGGCTACCCCTGTTCTATCTGCAAGTTCCTATTTGGAGTTTGGATAGTACCAAAAAACTTGTTACGGCTAAAACTGTGTGGTTTTGGTTTCCTGACATGCTTGTATTTACACAACATGTTGAAGTAACTTCCCAACGCTTTTTCTAAGAGCGACCTATAAACCATCGCCAACCAAAAAGTGGTAATTTCTGGAATCAGGATGCTGGATGGCATAATGTTTGCCTACATATGGCACCAGATAGGCGGATATCGGCCATCCAGAGACCACTGTGAACTTGCTCCCTAAATAAGCTGGTTGTATCATGCAGTAAATGACTAGAAGTACTGTATGTTGACACCCATCCAAATTATTAAGGCAGATCTTTACCCATATCTCTAAAATAACAACCAAGACGCCTCTAGAAATGTTTAGTAATGATAATCTACAATCACATACTTCTAGAAAATTGCCGGCTTTGTATTCTTTACATTCCTTATTTCTTCCCCAGTCTTCTGGCAGTGGCCATGTTTAGTAAGGGCAGATTACTAGCTCTCCTAGTACTTCCTGGATTTCTGGCACATGTGACTAGACATGTGACAATGCACATTATCTCAGGGAAGGAAAATGCCTTTCCCTAAGGTTTCCTGAGATTACAGATAAGATTTCTCAGCAATGCTCTGCTGATGACAAGACAATCCCAGTGTGCATTGCGTTGGCAAACTGAAGTCATTTTGCCCTTTAAAAGCAGGAAGTGAATGCTCTGCAAGTGTAAGTATTTCATAATCTCAGCATTTTACACCTGACATGTCTATGTTATTAATCATCATGCATAGAGGGATGCATTGGTAGAATTTGATGTTTGAGTGTAAAGGTGCACAAAGCCAAGCCCATAAAGACATAAGTAATGAGTTTGGTTTGGAAGAACTCAAGTGGCCTGCACAGAGCCCCAACTTCAACCCTACTGAACACCTTTGAGATGAATTGGAACACTGACTATGAGCCAGGTCTTCTGGTCCAAAATCAGTACTTGAATTCACAATGACAGTTTTGGCTGAATGGGCACAAATTCCTACAGACACACTCCAACATCTGGCAAAACATGTTATAGCCGCAAGGAGGCAACAACTCCATATTATTGCCCATGGTTTTACAATGAGATGTCCAACTCTTAGGTGTGATGGTCAGGTGTCAACAAACTTCTGGTCATATAGTGTGTATCGCAAGAAGTATACACACCTTTTAAATATAAAAAGGGGATAATGACTCCATGGCACGCCCAATGATAATAAGTGCTTGCTATCACTATAGGGCTGATTTATAGATCTTCCAGCTGGTGTATAGCTGGATGAATGCCACTTGCAATGCACTAACACTGCTAGATGAGTATCATAGGAATTTCCTATGCTCATCTAATCCATCTAGTGGTGGTAGTGTGATGAGAGTGGCATTCACCGAGCTACACACTAGCTGGAAGATTTATAAATCAGTCCCAATGTATTTAACCAGCAAGCCACCATGTTCTAATTGATTTCAATGCACAGAGCAGACTGTGTATGGCCAGCAGAACAAGTATGCAGATTAGACGTTCGGATTTCACTTGCTGTACTGTTCACCTTGGGTCAGTGTTTTATAAAGTATTAAAGCCAAGAGACCGCCGTGACTGCCAAGCAACTGGCATATTCATGAAAAGTCCATGTATCCCTTCGCACTACTGACCGGAAAATGCCCAATGCAGCAGGGCGGGTGCAGCAGCAACAACGGATGCCTCCGTCAAAACGTACAAAAAAAATGATAAAGTCACCGTCACTCCAAATAATCAAGTCAATAAGTTTATTGACCCAAGTGAAAACACCTCTAGCAAAGTTTCGGGACCATGCAGCCCATTCCTCAGGCAAACAGAGAGTGGTTTGCCTGAGGAAGGGGCCGCATGGTCCCGAAACATTGCTAGAGGTGTTTTCACTTGGGTCAATAAACTTATTGACTTGATTATTTGGAGTGACGGTGACTTTATCATTTTTTGTATATTCATGAAAAGGTCACCAATGGCAGGCCAAGTATTTCTCTCATGACAGGCTAGCCACACACTGGTAGATTTTGATTTAACAATTCATCCCCACACAGCTACCTCCTCGTGTATCACTTGCCCCTCCCTTTTAGATTGTAAGCTCTCAGGGGCAGGGCCCTCCCTACCATCTTGTCTTGAATTGTATAGTAATTGTAATGTCTTCCTTATATTGTAAAGCGCTGTGCAAACTGTTGGCGCTATATAAAACCTGTATAATAATAATTTGACAGTTCAACAAAATGTGATAGCAACTCTGTGGAAAACATGGACTATTGATGGGAGTTGGGAAACATGGTACTATTAAACGAACACAAGCGACGCTCAGATCTGACACCGCCCTTGCCAAAATGGAATACTAGATGGGCATAATAATCTACTAATACTTTGCACAGGTTCGTGATTACGGTTTCATAACACTAACTGGTGAGAATATTATATGTGATGCCACAACATGGGCTGAGATGCTTGGTTCTTCCTTACCTTTGGAGACCCTTCGATATTCCAGCCTTCTTGCTGACCAGCCTATCACTGCAGCAGTCCACCAATCTCTTGAGCGTATAGAGACATTCCCGGAATGTAGAGAAGAATGGATAGTGACTGATGATGCAAAGAGATGTCAGAGTGCTGTTCCGAGAGCGCTGCACCCCTTTGGACAGCCGTTTTTGGTGAGGAGAGTGATTGATATCCGATGCAGACTCTGCGCTTGGAACCTGTAAAGGTTGGCCTCCATCAGAGCCCTCGGACCCATTCTCCGAGGCTGGCTTGGGCTGCTTGCGGCTTTTGTCTTTTGGAATGCGTTTCTGAAAAGAGCGGTAAAAGTTGACACATATTCCGTAGCGAGTAATTCCACTGTCTTTATCGGTAAGCGTGAAGACAAAGGAAGTGTCATCTCGTAAGCTCATGCGCTTCTGTCTTACGCTGAGACACCCTTCCGGCTGGCAGAAGAATACTACGTCGGGAGGCAGGGGAAAATCATGAAAGTCCTCAAGTGGGTACCTGCGGAGCAACTCCGGAGTCTGAGCAATGCTGTCACTGCTTGGTTGCCTGATGTGAGAAATCAGATTTGGTTAAAAAAAAAAAAAAGCACCGTTTCTATATAAAATACAGCAAGTAAAGGTGGGGGTAAGTGAGAAAATAGAGAGGAGAGATGGGGGTGAAGGAAAGCGGAGAGTAGGGAATAAGAAAGAGAAAATACAAAAAACTGCAAGAAAGACAGGAAAATGGGTTGAACATATTAGAAATAGAGAAGAGAAGGTCTCATAGTTCCCCTCCTATTTGGGTTAGTGACCTGGAAGCATTGTTTCCACCATCTATGCTACTATTCTCCATTCGACTTTTAATATACATAGCCAGCTACCCTGTAAAATAAGGTGGAAAGATGATTTGGGATGGCTGATTGATGATCAATGGTCTGATAGAGGCTCTACTGGTGATGTATACAAGACAAGATGCGGGCGGTCCCCAGGGAACCTCTCCACACATCCTGTGGAGGTACTAGTTTCAGTGCCGATACAGAGTATTTGGGTAGCTTTCCAGTCAGTCATTCAGCATGGAGCCGGCTTCCTGATTGGCAGGCCAATACTCGCTGTCCGGCTTTCCGATTGTTCGGGAAGCCGGCTCCATGCTGATTGGCTGGGAAGTCGGTTTCCCAACCAATCACAACTGAGCCGGCCAAACAACATGGAGCCAGACCAGGTGCCAACAAACTTCTGGTCAATCAGGAAGCCGGGCGGCATGTCATTACCCGCCACTCGAAAGCAAAATACCGGTACTCGATACCGAAAAACCAGTATCGGTGCATCCCTAAATAATACCCAAAGCTTTTTTGATATCGGAAGGATATAATGACTACCATCATTAAGAGTTGTCCAGACAAATTTGGCAAGAGGTCCTAAATTGAGCTTATAAGGGTTAATGGATAGCAGGGAGATTCATACACAGATTATTGTTCCTGGTTTGGAAAATCACAGAATGATGAATTTCCGCTATTCAACCCGATCACAAACCCTGAATAGCTGCCGTTAATGACATCCTTGTCAGAGAAAGGCTAGCTTATATAAGAAGAGGCTGCCCATGTAAATTTGTAAAAACCTTGGGGCAACTGGCTTGATGCAACACACTCTGCTTCCTTGTCATTTGTAGCTCATAGACAATTCTACACTGTGTGTCAGGTGAAGATTGAAGTCTCTTCGACCCTCGCCTACATTTTCTGTGAGCAACACAATAGCTGGGCCTGCTGTATAACATTTATTTGTTTCCCTTTCATGTTCTACCCATCTCTTGCTCAATGTATTTACTGTTCTACATTTGGTCCCATAGCAACCAACAATAATCACCTAGTAATGGTCGGAGAAAGCAGACGAAAACAGAGAATCCTTATCAAAACTATTTTTTATTGCTAGTATTGAAACTAAGGTTTGGGATAAGAGGAGGGAGGACAGAGGGGAAAGGGGAGAAGTTTGGTTTACTTGCATTGTTTAAAAATTGATTAATAAAAAGCACCAGATTTAAAAAATAAAACAAATATAAGAGAATAGAGGCTCTACTGGTGATGTATACAAGACAAGATGCGGGCGGTCCCCAGGGAACCTCTCCACACATCCTGTGGAGGTACTAGTTTCAGTGCCGATACAGAGTATTTGGGTAGCTTTCCAGTCAGTCATTCAGCATGGAGCCGGCTTCCTGATTGGCAGGCCAATACTCGCTGTCCGGCTTTCCGATTGTTCGGGAAGCCGGCTCCATGCTGATTGGCTGGGAAGTCGGTTTCCCAACCAATCACAACTGAGCCGGCCAAACAACATGGAGCCAGACCAGGTGCCAACAAACTTCTGGTCAATCAGGAAGCCGGGCGGCATGTCATTACCCGCCACTCGAAAGCAAAATACCGGTACTCGATACCGAAAAACCAGTATCGGTGCATCCCTAAATAATACCCAAAGCTTTTTTGATATCGGAAGGATATAATGACTACCATCATTAAGAGTTGTCCAGACAAATTTGGCAAGAGGTCCTAAATTGAGCTTATAAGGGTTAATGGATAGCAGGGAGATTCATACACAGATTATTGTTCCTGGTTTGGAAAATCACAGAATGATGAATTTCCGCTATTCAACCCGATCACAAACCCTGAATAGCTGCCGTTAATGACATCCTTGTCAGAGAAAGGCTAGCTTATATAAGAAGAGGCTGCCCATGTAAATTTGTAAAAACCTTGGGGCAACTGGCTTGATGCAACACACTCTGCTTCCTTGTCATTTGTAGCTCATAGACAATTCTACACTGTGTGTCAGGTGAAGATTGAAGTCTCTTCGACCCTCGCCTACATTTTCTGTGAGCAACACAATAGCTGGGCCTGCTGTATAACATTTATTTGTTTCCCTTTCATGTTCTACCCATCTCTTGCTCAATGTATTTACTGTTCTACATTTGGTCCCATAGCAACCAACAATAATCACCTAGTAATGGTCGGAGAAAGCAGACGAAAACAGAGAATCCTTATCAAAACTATTTTTTATTGCTAGTATTGAAACTAAGGTTTGGGATAAGAGGAGGGAGGACAGAGGGGAAAGGGGAGAAGTTTGGTTTACTTGCATTGTTTAAAAATTGATTAATAAAAAGCACCAGATTTAAAAAATAAAACAAATATAAGAGAGCAAGGAAAGTAGTCACCGCTCCAAGCTCATTCCTGGGATGGACTAGAATCTCAGGTTTAGTTTACTCGTTTATATGAAGATTGTAGTCCATCACAGGAGCGAGCTTGGAGCGGTGACTACTTTACACACACATGGGGAACAAAAGAAGCCCCCCTCCAGAAGGAAGGACAGTGTCAGCACCACTTCAGAGATGATTGGAGGATCTACAGCCGAGTGATACACAAATAAGATACATTTTGGTTAATAGTTAAGGTACTTGAATGCATTTTTAAGATTTTACTCCTGAGTATAGTGTCACTTTAAACTGAAAACCTAATGGGGTTGTAATTCTCTCATGACAGATCCTTTAACTTAAATTCATCGAGCAATGTACTAGTGAGACAGAAATCCGGGCACAATTGAAATAATTTAGGAAGGAATTAACAAAAGGAATCAATAATGTACAAATAGTTATTAAGTCTTGGAGGTAAAAATGCTGCAAATAATGGAATATTGATTCTCTCTGAAATATCCTCTATTATTATACTGTATAATCAGTAATTACCAGCAATCAAGGTACTTTGGCTTGGCAGTGAATTGTTCCACGAGAATGTCTGTGTGCTTTGGTTATATAACTGTCCTGGTATTGCATGCGACATGTCCACAGAGCGGAGAACTATTCTGTATAGAGGAAGCATGGCTTACCTTGCGCCTACGATCACCAGGTAATCCAGCAACCTGGGACATGGCTGCTTCTTCTTCAGCCCCATGGTCACACCTTCCTACTGTATCATCTCACAGACCGCTTGGCTCACTGGACCATCGCTGACCAAAGAGACTCCAGCAGGAACCTTAAAGTAGGAAAAAGACAGAGACCACAAAATATATCAGATTTTGCAGAAATACATTTTATTTAATACTTAAAGCTGAAGTTAAACATATTTTGTTTTTACTTACAATTACTATTTTTCTACTATTTTTCTACTTCCTGGCCCTCTTGGACACTAGTAATGTAATCATCCCAAGCGTTGCATCCAGGAAAGGTGACATCCGCAGAGCATTGCTGGGAAATCTAATCTGTAATCTCACGAGATCTCAGGGAAAGGCATGTTCCTCCCCTGAGATGATGTGCATGGTCACATGTCCTAGTCACATGTGCCAGAAATCCAGGAAGTAAAGGGAGATTGCAAGTAAAATAAAAATATGTTTAAGTAATAAATGTAAGAGGATATCATATCCGCATGCAGAGCTGCGTGTTGAGGTGCTTTTTAGTGAAAGGGGGGAAAGGTCCGCTTGAAGCACACTTGACTGGCTCAGAGTACTGCCCCTCCCTCCCCAAGTCTGAGTGCTGCTGTACAGGAGACAAGATGTTAATACAAGAAAAATTCAAATATTATGACAAGATGCAAACATTTAAAAATTTATATAATACATATAGTACTTAACTGTATTCATTTTTTTTTGTATCCGACTAGAATTCAGCTTTCATACTGTGCATTTGCAGGCAGATTAGGCCAAAATTGCATTAAATATTTGCATGACCAGGTTATATTATTGTTCAGAATATATAGTG